GAAAGATTACCATGCTTAAGGATCCGAACGAAAAGCGTACGAATTACCTCCGTCGGAGAGAAGCGACGCCGAATTGCATTTCCGGGAGAGATTAGCTGAGAGCTCGCAGTACTGGCGCTCGTACCCTTCAAACACGTCGCTCATCTTCTTCTTCTTCTTTGACTAATCACTTAAAGGGTTTCGACCTCAAATTAAAATCAAGCAAATTTTGGAAATCTGATGTGTGAACAGTTCAATTGGATCTTTGAAGGGGTAAGATCGGAGAACAGAAAAAAAAAAAGGAGTTGGCTTTCACGGAAAAGCAACTCGTTCTTCCTCCCAGGCGCTGGTAGATTTACCAGGGGGATATTACTCAAATAGCCGAGTTGGGTCGCATGAATTTCTCATGTACACCGAAAAAATAGACAGAATTATCAAATATCGAATTTACCCCTGTAAAAAATGGAAAAGGCCTACAAACCCTTAATGAAACCCGCGTGTGAGATAAAAACACGTGCGAAAATTTTTTAATTCGAATTAAATAAAAAACTAGTGAAAACGTTTAGTTAAAACCGTAAAAAGGAAAGTTAGGGTTTTTTACCCTTTCAAAATCAAAAACGGCAAAGAGAAGAGAAAGCGGGAGAGAGAAAGTGACTCATGCGAAATCGACAGAAGGAAACAAATCGAGAGTCGAAATCGAAACGAAATCAGCGGAGTGTCAGCGAAAGCAGGAAGAAAGCGACGAAACCCAGAAAAATCGAGAGCTAGACGAACAAAATGAAACCATCGTCGTCGAGGGAAGGAGGTCGCGGTGGAGGTCGAGTCGGTGCTAGAACCAGAGTGGTGTCGAGGTTTGCCGGCGAGAGAACGCAGACGGAGCCTGAGGCGGAGAATACGGACACGGAGACAGAGTCGGAGCCAGAAAGAACAATGGAGGGAAATGCTTCTCCGAAAAAACATGTAAGTAGAAATCTGGGTTTAGGGTTTTCATGTTGAAATTAGATTTAATTCTGGGTTTTTAAAGTCTGGGTTAAAGAGGTGTGTGATGTCGGATAATGCGAAGAGTTGAACAGATTTGGTGAAACCGTGCTCATGTAACTTTTAAATTTTAAGTGTTTTATACGAAGTAGCAATTAAGAAATGATAGTGAAGTAGTGGAATTTGAAACCCGTTTCTGAGAATGTCATGTGTTGTGATGTATGTTTGATGAATCTCGTTGTTTTGTTACAGAATTTGGATATACCCAAAGCCGAATTCTACTATGAATTTGACGACATGAACAAGATTTCGGTGAAGTTATCGTCAAAGTGTTTCCACATAGAAGCTGTGGAATTTCTCGAGCACCACATGACGGAGGAGGAAAAAAAGTATTTCACCGAACAATCGCAATTCAGGCACATATTTCATATGAAGAAGAAACAGTCATTGAAGATGAGTTTAATGGTTGCACTCATCAACCGATCAGTCAAGACCAAGAAAGATGACGAGTTATGGTTCGTGATGAACGAAGTCCCAATTAGGTATTCGCTGTGGGAACACGCTATTCTCTGTGGTTTAAATTGTTCTCCGTTGCCTGAGAATTGGGAGGAAATTGGAGGGTTCGAATTCTACCGTAAATTCTTTGGTCAAGAGAGTTTTGAAAAGGTTATGAAAGCAGAAGTAATGAAGAAGTTTGGGGAATTGGCTGTAGATGACAGAGATGACCGATTGAAGATGGCTTATTTGTTGCTGCTCAGTTATGTCATTGGGCACCAACATTCGGAATACGTGAATCCATTTCTGTTGAAGATTGTCAACAATGTGGATGCATGCGAAAAATTCCCTTGGGGGACGTTCACGTTCAACAATGTTCATGAGTTTGTGGTGAACTATCTGAATAAACATCGGAAGCCGGCTAATCAGTGGAACTTACCAGGGTTTATAATTCCCCTCACGGTAAGGGTTTAGGGTTTACTAAACAAAATAAAGAGTTGTCAAGAAATACTTTATTAATGTTTTGTATTTGTTATAACAGATGTTGCCGTTCGAATGTATTCCCAAGCTTCGTTCAGGCGGATGGTATAGTGAAGTCAGGGTGGAAGAAAATGTGAAACAATCTCTTCTTCTTCTTCTTCTTCTTCTTCTTCTTCTTCTTCTTCTTCTTCTTCTTCTTCTTCTTCTTCTTCTTCTTCTTCTTCTTCTTCTTCTTCTTCTTAATATACAATCATCTTTAGAATATATTTTTAAAAACATTGAATATACGACTAATGTTGAATATACAATCATCTTTAGAATATATTTTTAAAAACATAAACTTTTATAATAGAAGAAGAAGAAGAAGAAGAAGAAGAAGAAGAAGAAGAAGAAGAAGAAGAAGAAGAAGAAGAAGAAGAAGAAGAAGAAGAAGAAGAAGAAGAAGAAGAAGAAGAAGAAGAAGAAGAAGAAGAAGAAGAAGAAGAAGAAGAAGAAGAAGAAGAAGAAGAAGAAGAAGAAGAAGAAGAAGAAGAAGAAGAAGAAGAAGAAGAAGAAGAAGAAGAAGAAGAAGAAGAAGAAGAAGAAGAAGAAGAAGAAGAAGAAGAAGAAGAAGAAGAAGAAGAAGAAGAAGAAGAAGAAGAAGAAGAAGAAGAAGAAGAAGAAGAAGAAGAAGAAGAAGAAGAAGAAGAAGAAGAAGAAGAAGAAGAAGAAGAAGAAGAAGACCAAGGCGATGGTCAAGATTTAACTTCTCAAGTCTCGCATTTGAAAGGGCAGAAGTCGCAACAAACAAGTAATGTCAAAAAAATATTATGTAAATTTTATAATCGTATAAACCATAGAAAAAAAAAATTCATCAGATCAGAAAACTTTTCTGCGATGTGGTCCCCACCTCAGAAACATTTCAGCGCAGTGGACCCCACATATGGAAAAACATCGGGCAAAGTAACACAATTCTGACAAGTGGGTCCATGACATTTTTAAACATTCGAAAAACCTTTTATTTACGACTTAGTTGCATCCACTTTACGACTAATATATGACTCTATTACCACGTTGTTACGACTTTAGTTGGTCATAAGTTTAAAAAAATGGTTTATTTATCTGAAATTTGTCGAGGGATGAATGAAAAATATAAAAGTACGTGTAAATACATCATTAAATTGCACTCATTTAATATTTGAAGAACTTTTGAAATTTTGTACAAACATAATATGAAAGCAAGCCTATGTAGATATGAATGTGTAACTCTTACTTAATGGAAAACTCTTTAAAAACCGTGAAAATCTGTCTTCGGGGGCCCACAAAAAAAGTCAAAAACAGACAATGTGGTCGTTGGATTTTGTCCTATTATAAACCAAAACCAGATAATTGCGACTTGCTTGTAACTCCGTTGCGATTGTTACATACTTTTTGAAAGTGGGTAAAATTGCATAAATTATTACGAGTTTCGTTAATGTAGTGATAATTACATCCTAATTAAGGATAAAACATGACATTATGGGGTCACATGACATTATGGGATCATATTTTATGACATTTTGAAAATTTCATTACTTTCTCTCCAAAGTAAGAGTTACACATTCATATCTACATAGGCTTGCTTTCATATTATGTTTGTACAAAATTTCAAAAGTTCTTCAAATATTAAATGAGTGCAATTTAATGATGTATTTACACGTACTTTTATATTTTTCATTCATCCCTCGACAAATTTCAGATAAATAAACCATTTTTTTAAACTTATGACCAACTAAAGTCGTAACAACGTGGTAATAGAGTCATATATTAGTCGTAAAGTGGATGCAACTAAGTCGTAAATAAAAGGTTTTTCGAATGTTTAAAAATGTCATGGACCCACTTGTCAGAATTGTGTTACTTTGCCCGATGTTTTTCCATATGTGGGGTCCACTGCGCTGAAATGTTTCTGAGGTGGGGACCACATCGCAGAAAAGTTTTCTGATCTGATGAATTTTTTTTTTCTATGGTTTATACGATTATAAAATTTACATAATATTTTTTTGACATTACTTGTTTGTTGCGACTTCTGCCCTTTCAAATGCGAGACTTGAGAAGTTAAATCTTGACCATCGCCTTGGTCTTCTTCTTCTTCTTCTTCTTCTTCTTCTTCTTCTTCTTCTTCTTCTTCTTCTTCTTCTTCTTCTTCTTCTTCTTCTTCTTCTTCTTCTTCTTCTTCTTCTTCTTCTTCTTCTTCTTCTTCTTCTTCTTCTTCTTCTTCTTCTTCTTCTTCTTCTTCTTCTTCTTCTTCTTCTTCTTCTTCTTCTTCTTCTTCTTCTTCTTCTTCTTCTTCTTCTTCTTCTTCTTCTTCTTCTTCTTCTTCTTCTTCTTCTTCTTCTTCTTCTTCTTCTTCTTCTTCTTCTTCTTCTTCTTCTTCTTCTTCTTCTTCTTCTTCTTCTTCTTCTTCTTCTTCTTCTTCTTCTTCTTCTTCTTCTTCTTCTTCTTCTTCTTCTATTATAAAAGTTTATGTTTTTAAAAATATATTCTAAAGATGATTGTATATTCAACATTAGTCGTATATTCAATGTTTTTAAAAATATATTCTAAAGATGATTGTATATTAAGAAGAAGAAGAAGAAGAAGAAGAAGAAGAAGAAGATGTAAGAAACCTTGCATTTATAAGCTTTGCTCACCAAAGACATCAACCTTTTCACTCTAGGAAGATCAACTTGTCCCGCAAAATGTCTTTTGAGATAAGCAACAACCATCTCTAGTGTACCATTGTTTGTTTTCCCTTCTCTCTCTTGTGGTTGTAACAACGGTGTACATGTATGGACATTCACGTGCTTCATCACTCTAAAACACTCAGTTTTCTTTTTAACCACTGCTCGAACTTTCCACATACAACCTTGTCTTCGGAATCGACATCTTGCTTCCCATATCTGTGATTCGGACTTGTATACATAATATTCAAAACATGCATCATGTGAAGCTTTCATTACCTTCATCTTTAGCTCTTTCTTACTGTCAAATTCCTTTCCTACCGTAAAACCCATTCTGTCTTCAAACGAGAAACATTCGGTTCCACTTACACGTCTTCCACCATCATCTGCAAACTTCAGTACCTAACTCTATTGCAACTTCAGTACCTAACTGTATTGTAACTGCTTTCCCTAACTCTGTTGCAACTTCAGTAGCTACCTCTGTCGTGTTTTCAACTCTAGCATTGTCGGTCGTAACAACCACTTCATTCTCGTGTCATATACGATCATGCAAAGTCTCTTGCTCAACCACATCATAATCAACACCCATTTCCACATCATTGTGTTCTCTTTCTTCCTCATCTTGTTCTCCTACCACAAAATCTACAACTAAACCATTACCATCAACAATCTCTCTTCCTTTTTCTCCATTCACATCAACCGCTAACTCAACTTCGCAAACACACGTTTCTAGCTCAACTCCATCATCATCCTTTCGCTCTACGTATAACCATCCTCGCCGTCCATTAATTTTGCTAAATAGGAAAGATTTCACTCCCATGTCATCGACTATATATTCCGGACGGTTTCCATCCATTACAATTGGAACAAAACTCAGTTTCGTCTTTCCTAAATCAACGGTTAGCTGGGCACAGACAGTTCCGACAAGTTCCTCGTGTGTTACTTCGCTTGCTTTGTTAAAAATGCATATTGTCTTCGAACAATCATCACTTCCCTTCCATTCAAACAATCCATCATCATTTTTTCCCCAAAAACCACCATACCGAATACAAATACATGTATAACAATCTTCAAAACCATCCATAATCCTGTCAAATGAACCGAAATTTGTCATTCTCATCAACAACCCAAAAATTTCAGATATTTAAATGAAACCCTAGAACAGAATTTAAGGCACAATAATAAATGCCTAAAATGCTTGGGTTTTACTCTCATTATACCTGTATAGGAGACTTAGTTTCGAAAGCACAAAAAAAACTGATCACAAGCTTGATTTAAAGCTCCGACAGAGCTTCAATGGCGAACGCACGATCGGGATGAAACATGGAGAGAGATGAGAGAGAATCACATTTAATTTGTCTCAATATTTAATATTCACACGTTTTTAATCAAAACGAAAAAACGTTTTATTACTTTTTCAATCAAAACGAAGCGTTTCATTAAATGGGTATTTAGGTCTTTTGTCATAAAAAGTGGGGTACAAAGTGCAACGTTTTTTCAGGCATTTTTTGGTTGTGTACAGAAGAAATTCTTGTGATACATCTGGGTTATTTCAGTAATAAACCCATTTACCAGCCCCCGACAGATGAATGCCGACTCAAAACGGTGTGTTTCATGTGTTACATACCATTACAGTATATTAATGGTTAATAATATTTTATATATTAGGTTAAGACATTTCGATTACAATTCTGAGAATTATTTTTTTTATAGATTATCTTATTATAATATTTGTTAAAATGAATTTAATAAAAAAAATTCTATAGATTATTTGTTTGATAAAAAATATATTGTTTATTAATTTTTTATAATCCAAAATTTTATTTTTATTGTATATTGATTTTTTATTATAATTTTTTATTATTATATTTTTTGTTTATTTATTGTTATTATAAGTCAATAGATCTTGTTTAAAATAATAATAAATAAGAGTAATTATATTTTATTAATTTTTTTATTATATTAAATGATTTTTGAAAGTAATGGTTTCATTTTGGCAAATGATTTATTTTGTTAAATGAATAATATTTATAAATTATTAATTTTAGCATATAACTTAGTTTTAATATAGATTAATTATGAAAAGTAATTTTAAATTAAATGCATAATATATTTATTTTTTAATTAACACATTAAATTAGATTGATATAAATTTTTTTATAAATCAATCATAATTTAAAATTACGATAGAACACGACAGTACCAAATTGTTTTAAATCTTATTATTTATATAATATAATAGCTGCTGTCAATTTCAGATTCGATTGGTTGATAACAAAGAGATTCGATGATAAAACAAGAGATGAACTCACGGTGATATCTTCAAACCATGTAAATAAATATCAATAAAATAAGCCCCCTTCTGTTTATACACTGCTTTGAAATATATACCATTCTTCTTTCTTATGTCAAAAATCCAACTTTCCATTTTTGTAACATTCCCCCTCCTATCTCTTCCCCGAATGGAACAGACATATCTCAGTATCCAAACATCACTAGATAGTAATATCGACAGAGCTACTGGTTACAACCACAGTTTCCAGAATGGGCTGAGTTTCCCCTCCGGAGGCTTCCATGCTGTAAGAACGGCAACTGAAATAGAACACAACGCTCATCATCGAATCTATGAGCACCACAAATGAATACATCATTACCAGAAGTGGCCCTTCCCATACCCTCGAAGACCCATCTCCATAACTCAGTGTCTTCACTCTGTGCTCGAACAATCCTTCCACAAACGCCAACCCTATTGTCGATCCGAGAAATATCAGCAAACCCACCTGTGTCTGCCCTTTTATCAGATCAATGGCTCTGACCAATGCTCCTGCTCCCGACACGTCTTCCAGTATGCATATCACTATCCCAGTGTTGCATATTATGATTGCATCCGCGAAAACGACGGAGAAAACCATGCCCACCACTATGGCTCCATGGGCGTTGAAATCGAGAGAGAAGCCGAGAACCGAAAAGGAACTGCAGATTGTGATGAGAAGGACGCAGAACGATGTGAGGCAACCGACGATGACCATACACATCCATAAGTAGGTGAGGACAAGCCGTTTCCATAACCTCTGGACAATGACAATGAACTTGCTTATATCAACCTTTTTCCTCGAGTAAGTGCAATCCACGGAGTAAACAACGGCTGCTCTCGACAAGAGTGACAGGGTTATGAACAATGGAAAGCACATCGCCGATGAAACAGCTGTTTCAGCAAATTTCTGGCACGAGTGTTTCACAAAGGGCTTCAGAGGAAGGCCGTTGGACTTTGCAACTATCAGCAACCTTACTGTGAATCTCTTGACTATTGATTCATCAACTAACAGGTTCGGTAAGAGAATGGCAGAAACAGGACAGATCAAAACAGCAGTAGTCAACATGAAAGCTCCTAGGTTGTACCGGAGAATCCGTACTGTTTCCCTCAGGATCTCGAGCGCATTCATATAATGGAATTGCTGGTGATCGGATGATCCAATCTCGGATTTCTCCAATTGGGTCCCCAAGGATCCATATTTTTCGCGATGATTCGTCTCGGAAACTTCCATCTCCATTTTCTCCCAACTCAGGATTACATACCCATAAAGCCGGTATTCCACAAACTATTGAATGACATCGATGCAAATCAGAGAACTTTTAGCTAACCCAGATTAGCGGATTACCTTCATAACCGAGAAAAACCAAAAGCGGGATCACGAGATTCGATCTTCGACGCGTTTAAAGCACGAAAGCGACGTGCTTTAGATTCTCCGCGAGCACAAGAAGCAAAATTCACGCAAGGGAACTTGGAAAAGTGAAACGGGACGACTGGGAAAACGAGAGAAATGAGAGGGTCTTGTAAAAAAAGCGTGAGACTCGGACACGGGTCCGGGTTCGGATCCGATCTCGGCAGGTTTCATACAGTGTTATGAATATCAAAGACTTCCGATTTTCCCAAATATAGCATCTCTCTTCTACCTTGGTTTCGAGGCAGGTTCGGGAAAAAGAGCAAAAAATAAAAGAGAGGATAATCCGTATCTTATTGATTTGGAGTTGGCACATCCCATAGATTTTCAGACAATAAAGAAAGGCTTGTCGGTGACGGCAGAGTATGGCAATGCGTATCTTTGCAACACTGTCACAGTCCAACGTGTTTATCTCTCTTTACCCATGCAAAACAAAAAATCAAGAGGAACGAATCTATTGAAAGATACATAATCCATAAGCTTGGCCATGCAAAAACCCATGGGCGATTCACCACTCACCGTTTTCACACAAAAAATGAAGCTTTTTTTTTTCCCACGACAACTTTAGCAAAACATAACGAGAAGGAAAGTTCTTGTCAATCACCAGCATGCAACTCAAGATGATGGTGCAGATTCCCTGTACTTCAGATCAAATCGAGGTACCTAATTTCCACACTTTCTTCCCGGTGCTAAATCTCAGTTCCGGGAGCTGTAAACCACAGAGGAAATCCGAGAAAGGATTCGCAGAGTTTTGCTTTCTCGACCGCACCAGCCATGAATTAAAAGAATGCTCACAGATTTTTAACCTTTCAGGCGAAAACTACGGTTATATATCATCATCGTACCCTATGGATGCTTCTAGAAGGAACCTGATCGCTGTCTTCCCCGCCAGACGCTTCATAGCCATCGCTTGTAGACCTTGACCATGGCATCATCTGTCCCCTCTGTTGACCCATCAGAGCAAGATGAGTTGAAGACAATCCAGTCAGTTGGGTTTGGGTTGAATCTTCGACTCCAGAGGAAACTCTAAATGGGTGAATGTCTGGTGAGCCTAAACTGCTATCAGGTGAAGAAGCTACGATAAGACCAGAGCTTGACATTGCCCGGCTTGTCTGAAAGGCGCTTCTTGCTTCAAGCTGAAGAGGTGCAAAGGCTGAACTAACTGCTGATGATTCCATAGCTTTTGCTCGGATATTCATCAGCGATGGCTCATGGGGCAATCCAGCTGGTTGGTGTAGGCTTCTAGATGGTTTGCGCTTGCCATTGTTGCCAAAGCTGTTGCTTGCTTCCAAGCCAAATTGGTTTTCCCGTCTCATCCCCACGGGCTGAAGTATTTTGGATTTCTTTCTTGCTTCCGCTGCTGCTTTCGAAACCTCTTCAGCATTGAGCCGTGCTAGAGTCCATGGGCTGATCTTTACTGCCAGGTTCTTCTTCTTGACGGGTTCTTCAACCGCCGCTGTCTTCTTCCCGTACGAATGCACAGATGCATTCTCTGGAGGAACTACGTCAAACTGAAAAAAGGAACACCCAAAATCCACATTGGCGCATGTTGAGCTTCTGATCCATAAAAAAAATTGCAAACCTTTCTTGCTTTTTATGCACCCACCAAAATGTTTACATAACAGACCTCACCAAGATCCTTTTGATTTAGAAAGATTCAGCCTTTTCTGGTTTCTTTTGAGTAGGGATGAAACTAAAAGCTTCTCAAATATAATGATTTAAGGGTAAAAATTCCTAAAAAAAATCGAGGAACTAAGCCGAACGGTCAAGATTATTACCTGATCTTCGAGAAATAACCTCGGGGGTGTGCACCAGGCTGCACGGTGGAAGGCGTTAAACGAGCTTGCACTGCTTAGACCAGTGAACGAGCTGATCATCGACATTTGAGGACTCTGTTGACCTCCTCCACCGCCTTCCTGTTCTTGCTCTTGCTCCCTAAGTGCAACTATGTAATCATACGTACTAATTCCCTGTAAAGAAAAATCCCGTTAGGTAAAATCGTATACAGCACATCCTCACACAGTTAAGAATCGGAGACCAACCTTCTTTATGAGCAGAATGTGGAAGAAGAAAAGCTGAGCAAGTGGTAGCGTTGCAAGCATGGCTAGTATGGTACATATTGCCTGCAAGAGAAACAAAGTCTCTGTCTGGTTATTTGTTATCTTGCGCCATGGACACAAATCAAAGCTCATTTGTCTTGGGGAAAACTTACAACAACGATAACAAACGGGGCTAGCGAGAAGCTGCTGCCCAACTTTAACGAAATATCGGCAAAGAGTTGCTTCCTTTGGAGAAAACATAAGAGAAGCACGAGAATCCCAGTTGTCCATTGCATGATAAGCTGCAATTATTTACCTGTGAATAGTATGTTTAAATCGAAAATTGACTAACCTAATGCTTACTATATGTTTACAGTGCATATACAGTGTTGTATCATGCAATGGAAGAAATGTTATGAACAGAGAGTATGAGGATGACAGAAACATGAGAAATAGAAAAGCGGAAGCAAAGAAGCAACTGCTAACCAAGAGGACAGCAAACACCATAAGAGTGAAGAATTGCCGGTAATTCCTCTTGCCGATGCAATTGTTTAGCCACTAAACAAGTTCAGGACAAGAAAAAGGAAAATCACATAAGGAGAAGGCCTTCGAGCAGAAAGAACAGTTGTGAAAGAATCAGACATATGTAGGCACGTCCTGTTTTTACCCGGCAGTGATGATCGAAACAGTCCACACACTTGTCACAGACTCTGCAATGTTTGCTATACTTGAAGACCTACAAGAAGAAAGATAGTAATTAGTTCCATGAAGAGGAACGAAACCCCCCCCCCCCCACAAA